TCATATTAAATAGTACTAAAAACCGAAATAATACGACCTAAAGGTTACCATGTGCCTAATCGGTTTGTCTTCATAAATTTGAGGAAAATAAAATAAAATTAGAATATACAAATAATCATTCAAGCTCTCACAAAATATTCATAGCCAAAACTCCTCGATTTTTTCCAGATCATCAGTGTCATTTACAAATAGGTAAAGGATTGTGAGGAAAATAGCGCTTTCAGTGCCACCGGACCTCTGCGCTACGACCATGTTTGAAACTAACTATTAATTCCCACCTCAGCGTGAGAGAATATTCTAAATCAACTCATTGAAAATTGCAGATATCCATTTCGACCTGACAAAATTAAATTTGCATTTAACCCCTAATTGTTTACCCTTAAACCAATATTTAGCTTTGGGGCGCTACTTGTTATAACAACCAAATGACAATAAGCAGTTAACCCTCTTTCGTTGACCATTGTCCAAAGTGACAAATTGGACATAACTGACCGTCTAAGGTCAACAATACGTGATGTACTGTTAACCACAAATATGCGGATACAGTATACACTTCATCTGAAAGCCTTGAGTATTTGGTATCTAAATAATTATTGCATATTATTCGATCATAGAATTCCTTTTGTCAGGATACTTCAGTCTTTGATTTATTCAAAACTAGCCTCTTTTCGTTTCGAGAAAAGAATAGGATCAACCTTTTCCAAAAATTGAGAGAATCTAAGGTGTATAGATCAGGCTCTGGAAGACACTAAGAATTTCTAGAAAGTTTTCTGTTGGCGCCGGTTCAAATCCAAACCGGTGTCTCATAGGTTAAATTTCCTCTCATTTATTAAAATTTTTCATGAGGTCTTCGCAGTGAAAACCTCACAGTTAAAGATTTCACTAAAACAGCTAACAACACTTAGTATATCATTGAATGGGGACGAAATCCCAAGAGTATGAAAACAAATTCCACATCTTCCTGGTGCCAAGGCTACCCAGAACCCTTCAGCTGCAATGTGAGGAAACCTTTCAATCAACAACAGAACTGTAACATGAAAAGAATGTGCTTTTCACGAAATTAAAGAAACACGTTTTACAAAATAGCATACAAGTCGAACAGGATATAATCTGTGATAAGTAGTACAGGTATACATAACATTCTTTAAATTGTTAACATTTGACCGAGAGTATAGTTGATAGATATTGTCCAGTGGATTACAGGAAGTAATCTATAATCTTGTGGTCAGTTGTAACAGATGTTGACCGGTATAATACCCTAGTCCAGGCTGTGATCCATAGTGGTCAGATTGGCTTAAGGCGGGTTGACCTTTTTAGATCATAGATAAAGAAAAGGTTAATATTCAGTTTTTACAATATTGATAACATGTTCAATTCAAAATAATTCTGAATTTTATTTTTATATCTCCCTACCTATATAAAATGACACTTTGTTAATATGAATATTTAGTCACAGGGGGACTGAATACGTTGTCGGTTAGACACGGAATACGGCTCAAAATTATTTCAGTTGACACGAACGTATGCTGCAGGCGGTGCATGGTAAAGTTGGAAATCAAAAAAAGAGTAAGCTAATGCCGCAAGAAAAAATTCCCCCCATTGCATGACGTTGCTTGTCTTAATTAACCCATAAGGGCAGAAAAGTAGGACAAACTCCATTTGTATCATTTTATTTTTATGTCGTGAATGACAAAATTTTGACAGCCTTATTGGTATGACACAAGGATGTCCTCTTTCACCATGGCTGTTCATGTTTTGTACAAAAGAATAACTGACTATACTCAACCCGCTTATTTAGATAAAAATACACGTACAAACAAGATTATAATCAAAATCTACATTGGTTGTTTGAAACGAAAACCTGTTGGTGGTATATCTTGCATTAAACGATGAATCATAATAAAATAAAACCTTGGCCTATATAGCTAACAATCGCTGCATTGCGTCCACCCCTCCCATTGAAAATTTTGTACTGCTCCTGACAGTTATGTACATAAACATGCAATAAAACAAAAACGTATTCAATGGTTGTTACAATACAAAATCCAGGTTTCTCGATCTATCAACAAAAACAATTTTAAAGTTTTTTCACTGGTATAGGACTATAGATTTGTAACCTTTGGAGAGGAACAAACTTTCCATTATCTTCCCAATTGGGCTATATTCACCCGTGGAGTTTCAACGATAATTAGTTTGGATAGCTTCCCGGAAGACGGAATTTTATAGGTTTTCTAGACTTTTGCGATATACCATCCGCTATCTAATCTGTAGTTCCTGTTATTTGGCTTCAACAATATTTGAGATAATAACGCCATAATCTGATCAAGAATTTCATGAATTATGGGAACCATAGACGTTGAAACCGGAAATTGTAATGGTACCACTGGTACACAAAGAAAGGAAACCTGATTAGAATTCGCGTAAATATATTACATGACAATATCAGGCCTGTAGACTTGATTGTTCGGAGGGCCAAGTAATATATCGGGAGGGACAATGGTGTAAGGTGGTTATAGTTGCAGTATTTGTTTAGGGAGACTATCCATTTTTGTTAAAAAAGGGGGGGGGGGGGGGTGTGTGCTTGGTGATATATTTTACTATTGTGTTCTTATATATGAAAAGATTATGACATCAACTGCATGTACTATTACTACTACTACTACTACTACTACTACTACTAGTCAAATTGTATTATCGTTTTGCAGAAAGCTCAGATTTTCTAATACATGTTTTGCAATATGTGTAAGCTTAGGATAATATATAAAATATGATATGATATCTAATACTGTAATTACTATCAGCTCAAATTGTGTAATCAGTAATATATTCCAGAGTAAACTCAGATTCTTTTATATAGCAATATCTGTGTGATATACTTTTCTGTTGTGTTCTTATAAATAACATAAAGTTATTGCGCAAGAAACATAGCATATTTATTGATTATGAGTAACTTCAACAAGTTGATCATTATTAACTTAATATACCACAAAGACAATATGACATCATTCGAAAGGTTCTTCTTGCATGAGACAATTCTAGAGTCATAGGCATTATAAGGGTTCATTCCAGTGATCTGTTTTGAATTTTTTGCACATTTTCAGCATTTCAGCAAGTTGGATGAAAACCGGAAGTGTAAATATAAAAATGATAACTTACCGGAACAATATATTTGTCATTGTTATTATTAGGAGTTGTGACGTCATGGGTGATATTCAATTGTTTGGTTTTATTGCCTGTGATTTCACCTATTGATTTCCCCACGTGAGTTTTACAATATACCTCATTGTCCTTCCCTCCATTCCTTGGATTGCGATGATATGTTTTCGCAGACAATGGTAATCCACATATTCGACACCGAAAACACTGCTTATGGAACAATAAATCCTCAATTTCTATCTGTTCTTTTGAGGGCACTCTCTTGTGGCAACGAAAACATGGGTCGATGTCATCTGGAATAGCTTGTCGCTCAAATTTATACTCATACAAAGTCGCTCTTTCGTAAGTGAATTGATATTTATACGATTTATCTTCGCCTTCACTTTCGTAAATTTGAATTTTTGAATCATCGGGTGGGGAATCGGTAGACATTATTAAAATCCAATGTAACTGAAACGCATATAATAGTTCGTAAACACAACTCGTAATCCGAATAACTGTTTAGATCGTAATCCGTATTAAATTCAGCCTTTGAAATATGATATCCGCTGGATAATCAAAATAGTTCATCACTGAAATAATGTCACTTCATAATCCAAATACGGTGAGAATAGCTGATATTTGTATACGACGATGGGAGAGGTTGGTTTGTTGTGCAGATTGACCTTATTTTTACATTCCTCGCGTCACGTGGCCCTTACTCGGTATATCTAACGGTAAGATGAGCTCTTACCTGTAAAGGTAGGCTACATTAGAGGTAAATTTCACCTAATTAGCTTACGCTTGATTGTATTTGAAGAGATCTTTTTCGATGAGTTGTCATCGTCGCCATCGATATCTTTATGGTTGAACTAATGTCATAAACGTTTGATTGAATATTCGTGATTAGCTGTGTATGTGACTAATATTGTATTGATTGAAGTTGACAGACGATCTCACCTGTCTCGAACACAGTGGAAGGGAGGTAATCCATATTAGCTGATAGAATCAGACCATCTTTGTTTAATTTCTTTGTCTTGCAGGTGTTCAGGCTGACACAAAAGAATATTGACTCTTGGAACAACATGGCATTGTGGGATAATTCCATCTGATATGCACAATGCATCTTTACTTTGTCAAAGTTATGTCTCTCACTTGAAGCAATGGTGTTTCTGGTTAGAAGTGTTCGAGTGGACTCCCCTCTGGGGTGGTAGTGGTGGTAGGGGCGGTAAAGGGTTTAAAAGTCACTCAATTTTAATAAGACATCCAAGGGTGGGTTATAAATCTAAAATGTTAGCCAATGAACCTCTTTCTGTTGCATATCTTGATTCTACATAGAGGTGGATCAGAGTAAACAAACGCGATCACCCAGACACTCTGTAGACACTAATGGACTGGATATCGGCTTAAGCTTGTGTGGGATTACGGACACTACAAATGAGTTGTATAAGTTTAGAGACTGATCGTAATTTGCCTGCTGCCAGAAAGCACTGACCTCGGAATAACGGGATGATGTTGAGCAACTTACTGCACCTCACCATCCTCTTGCGTCCATGTACTCAAATTTGAGTTCAATGGACATGGTCATTATTATCACAACCATTATTAGAAGCATCATAAGGAGCAGATTATCATCAGAAGCTAGAAGCACGATTGAGATGGGTCAACGGGGCACAATTGCAATATTTAGATCAATGCTGGCTCATAGAATTGGATTGGATGTTGGATAGCTGATACGATAGTTTATAAGAAACCACTATCACTTAAAAAATCTTTTTTATTTATTCAGAATACATAGTGATTGGCCTTAATATGTCTCTCGGGTAAAAGGTACAAAATAAAATATAATCAAAGTAAGTCAGCCATTAACCATTTTTTCCTTTTCCTTTTCCTTTGCCTTTCTGGTTTTGACTTCTCTGTTGATCTCTTTGACGTCTTGCATCGCCTTTTTCGTGTTTTGATTTGCTACTAGGGCGTTTGTTCTTTGTGTGACCACCTTTTGGTTTGGACTTACTGGCACCCCTAGCTGCTTTTGCCGCGGCTTTTGCCGCTGCTGCCAAAGCCCTCCCAACAGCTGCTGCAAAGGCATCAGATCCAAGAATCAGACTGTATGAATTCCTAGATACCTGAAAGTTGATATTAAGCGTTTGAAGTATGTTATCCAATTCCAATTATGTCATGTGAATAAAATATTGTGCACGTGGTCAGTTCGGCACAGCTTACTTAGGCACAGTATTATTTAGGTCCAGTATCAATTAGGCACTATGTCGATTTAGGCACAATATTATTTGGCACGATGTCATTTAAGCCACAACATCAAATAATCACATATCAAATTATGGCCCAGTAATTAAGGCACACTATTTTGTAGTGTGTGTTCAAATGAATACTTGCCCAATTAAATTTATCCCAAAAATCACTGTGCCTAAATGTCACGTGCCTTATGGACCACATGTTTATAATCGGTGTGACTAAAGTACCGTGTCTAACACTGACTTGTGATTTGTGCCTAATTAATTTGACAGGGAACCACTCTAAATGGGTACAGATAATCCCAGAAAGATCATTGATCAGCTGGTAACAGAAGCCTCAAAAATATTCTCATTTTTCGACGAAATTTACTTTCAACAAAACCCAAACATACCTGACAGCCAGGAGAAGCTCCTAGATTGTGAACAAAATGGCTGACATCACCAATAACAGAGATAACTACCAAAGCTACAAACATTGACTGATAAAACTTCATCTTGGTCAGGTAATATTTGAAGGAGTTATTCCAATATCTGAAAAAAGTAATTATCTCTTCTATAGTCTCTTCAATTACAAAGCCTGCACATAACAAATTATGTTATCATATATATTATCATCAAGTATTATCAGCCATAATCAAGTTGGAGGCTTCTCGGAAAGTTGAGAAGGCTGGAGAATTACCTATCAATTCACCCAAAAACTTTCTTGCTTTGCGAGTTATTTAGGCGTTGAAAACATTCTGTCGATTTAAATTATTGAAAAGTAAACTTTCGTTTAAGTGTGCTTACGTCGGAACGTTGCGTTTTTCAACTTAAAAAAGTTCGATGTAAGCCACGCCTCTTGGCGGTCACCTATGTTCGTGATCTGATTCTTGTAACTATGTCGGTTATTTGATTTTAAGGCTCTTTCCCTTCACCCAATCTACGAATTCGCGTCTATTACTTCATTTGGCGTTTGCATCTTTCATTATATTGCCCACAGGCAATAATTTACAACTATAAACGTTATTTTCTGAGACAAATCCCGTATGTTTGATAACAATAGAATTTTATTCAAATTCCCAACTTCATCATATCCTATTATAATGGTGGAAAGGCAGAATCTTATTCAGTAGACTTTATCTCATGTCGACTCCAACAGACAATGAGATGCTTTGTAAATGGAAATTGTGTCCAATTTAAATTGTGATAATTTGTTCAAACTTTAGACAACAAGGTCCATTCAAGAAACTTACCTTAGATTCCAAATCCAATCGACGTGATTTTCTTCAGCTTCTTACGCAAAGGTCTTTTTATACACGAAATCACGTGACGTTGGCTCATTTAAATATTTTGATATTCATTCAAAGATACTTTAAAAAAAGGCCTAGTCAAATTACATGATAACTTGATCACGTCATTATGCAAACATTTTTATGTGTCAAAATGCCCTTCTGTCAAAGTGATAAAGGAATATAAAATAAAAACAATAAAACCCTCGACTAAGAATTACAGTGGTGCATGCCTTTTTGACAATATATTCGGCATCTCTTTGCAGTTTCAGAACGTTTGCAGAATTTTCAAAAAAATCATAAGAAAAAGCCTACACACACCTGTTTTTAACTCAGTTGATTCTTTTTGATCTTTGACCTTTGATCTTAAATTTCGTCTGCGTAATGACTTAGAGCACTTGTAGAGAATGCTTATGATAAAATGCACAATATAGTTGACCGGAGAAAAAAAGAAAAAAAAAGGTTGCTTCTTCACTGAGAAAACCAATATTTCTGGAGCTCAATTAAAGAACTCTTTAAGTTCCAAATATTTAAAATATTTCACAGCATCAAGGTTTTACCAACTTAATTGGATTGTACGCCAGCGAATACATCAGAGCCCTCGTCAGAAATAATGTTAACATTATGGCTGATTATTTACAGACTTTATCTGATTGACTGTATTCACCATCAGAGTGCAATTTAAATCACTGCATTTACAATCTTCTGTAATACAAGAAATGTGGTTGTTGAAGTCAAGGTATGAGGCTATGATTGGCTGTATTAGCGTACAAATAATGAAATCGCTACTTTCCGTAATACAAAGAATGTGGCTATTGAAGTCAAGGTATAATTGTGAAGATGACCTTACTCTATAGACAATAAGTATAGGATGATGATAGTGATATATCAGTTTTAATACTTCCCAGTAAATTGCCTAGTTTCGTTTTATACTGTTATTAAGTATTTTTATTCAAAATATGTCACTGTGTTATGGGTTATGGTGTCCTGCAGTGGCGTCTCCACGACCTCCTCACCTGGTTTTCCCTAGAAACTCCATTGTGTCCCTGACCGAGGTGCAACATGTTTGGATGATATTGGATAAGGTGTCACGTAAAAAGAGTCTTAGGCTGTACCATTGTAGTTACGTAATGTTACGAAAGCACAGACACAGGCTTAACCACTAGTGAGAGAGTATTGTTTGTGCTGTTGGATTGAATAATATAATTATATTTTCATTGAAATGAAATTCCAATAGGAACATTAATATCTATGGAAATTGTAATAAATATTTTTTTCTGTTAAAAATGCTACTGTAAGTTAGAAGATAAAATGCATATTTAGTGCACGTTTAAATACAAAGGTCATAATTTACAAACCTGGCTATAGCACGATAATGATTAAAAGATCGATTGATACGATATCATGAATGGTGAATACGGAAAAGTATTAAATTTAACAAAGGAGGGGTAATCTACCACGGACTAAGATATCATTAAGATTTTTATTTCGGGTATATAGGCGATCACTAAATCTTTCGTAAAAACAGTAGGGAATTGGGTGAGAAGGGGTGGAGAAGGGGTGAAATGGGAACAATTTATTTAGGGGGCAAAGTGGAGAGGGCCGATATTGGAAGACAGTTGCTGTCAATAAAAAGTATTTTCAAAGTCGACTGGAACCGATCTGATAGAATGCTGTAAATCACTGTTGATCTGATCTGACTTTAAAGGGACAACTGTTGGAAATAAGCAAAGAAATTCCGAGATATTATTTCATGCGATTTTCATACATTTCTAGTACTTCTGAAGACTATTTACTCAACTCAACCTCCCAAACTGGCGCATCTTAAGAGTATTTCAACTCTCAACCTATAAATGAATATAGTAATAGATATTAATTATTTTGTTATAGGATACAGGAGTTCATTTCTCATTTGTTCAGAAACAGTGTTTACTGGAGAACGAATAATATTTTGTAATAAGATCCTGGTCATTAGCTGGAAATTTCTCATACTGCGTCTCACCTTTAAACACTGTCATGTTCATAACCTTAACAACTTGAAAAACTAAAATTAAGACCTATTTTAACATAAAATAAACATTAAATTGTATTTACGACGAGTGATGGGCATCACCGTTAATTTTGATTTTTAGTATCACCTGACACTGTGACCCTTGACCTTTGGCTGCACTTGCAGTTTTAAATGGCCGACGAGAGTTCAGTTTGGCTTTAAGAAACTGGAACCGCATATGTGAGATAAATGATGAAGGGGGATTATGATGGTATGACTGTATTACAAACGTATTTATCTTTCCGAATTTATCTAGGTTTGGCGGATTTGACGTATCTGAATAAGTTTAAAACCTCCGGCTCTACATCTGCCGACAACTTTCAAAATAGCTAAACTGGAGGCTAGAATAGAGGCAGATGTTTAGGTCAAGGAACTATGGTATAGTGTTAAACGATCAGAAAAACACTACATAACTATACCAGCCAATAAAACTTAGTATTAAATGACGGACACAATTTTATGGTATAATACTCCTTAGTTTTATTACACACTACGTTTCAACAATCTACATTGTTGTCTTCAGGTGATCTCTACCCCTAAATGTTGCTAAAGGATTAAACTAAATGTAAGGCTTGTACTTATGACGTTTTTGGTTCCTAGTTCCAGAAATGAAATACATCAATATTATTCATTTGAAATGGTTTATACGATAGAAACTTAGTAATATGAAATCTGATAAAGTTGTCTTATAGAATTAAAGTAACCATACACATCGGACGGGAAATTGAAACAGCATGAATGCTCAATATTTCCTGATATCAGTGCCGATGCCGATAATTCGGAATAAACTGCGAGTATTTCTGACGAGTATTTAGTACTAACCAATGTAATGCTGGCTCTACATCCTTGTGAATTATTTTTGCTGAGATGTCAGGTAAGATCCGCCTTCAAAATTTTATTTTAAAGGTTATTAGGGCCTACGTTTATCGGTCGATTACGCAAAAACAATAAATACTGGAAACTTCTTATATCTACATCCTATTTTTAACAATCTTTTAAACAATGCTGGTAAATATACGGATGGTGATAATTTGGTATAATAGGACTGTGGTAGCCTCTTCTCTCACCAGTATCCAGTCTAATCTCGATAGAAGAAAACTACATAGTAAAGTTTCTGCAGTAAACTTTTGGTGAGTTGATATTACTTTACTAATATTAAAAACAGCCTCAGGTCTCTCTCTATATAGTGTTCCGATATATATGTATAGTAACATTTCGCACCACACAAACTGTATATTATAGATCAACAGAGTCTTAATTGTAAATGCACATTTTATGTAGCAGGATCAATCCCGGCATAGGTTGCACTGGTGTCTCTTTGTCAATGATGTAGGTCGGAGGGCCTGGCATGGAAAAACACCTAGTTGTTCGGATGGGACAATACACGTTAATGGTCGGAGTTGAGCAACAATAGGATATTGCTACTGTCCTGGCAAAATTCCCTCATTGCACACTACACGGCGTTACCCATCTTCATGAGCTCATTAGAAAAAAAAGTAAAAACGTAAGACACACGTTAATTTCTGTTTTAGTTAGTGTACCACGCCACATATTATAATAAGCATTGACCAGTGTCTAACACCCACATAATATTTGACTCAGCTAGTAAAGTTCAGTTTTTGTATTCTTTGTTCAGTGAAATATATGAATTATCTTCTATTTCTAGATTATCAAATCATCAAGATGAAGCTGTATCAGTCAATGTTTGTAGCCTTGGTTGTCATCTCTGTTATTGGTGATGTCAGCCATTTTGTTCATAATTTGGGCGCTTCTCCCGGAAGTGAGGTAAGCATATTATTATCATAGGGCCTACTCCCCATCTTCACCATTTTCACAATGTCAAGTTATTTCAAACTTCGCTGCATTCCGCGATACAAGAAATAAGGCTATTGCGGTAAAGGTATCTTTACACTTTTTTTTCATAAGGTATTACATAGTGTACGGTCTACACAGGCCACAGAACAAGCCTTTTTCGATTTCGATCTCAGTTATTTGATTTTGGCATAACGAAGTAATGTTGACTGACTTTAAAAAAAAAAGTCCCAATTATGGTCTAATTAGTCTTATGAATTCAATTTTTGATTTCAGCTTTCAAGAAATTCATTTAGTTTGATTTCTGGATCGGACGCCATTATTGGTGCTCTAGCACGAGCTATTGGTAGAGCTGTAGCCAGACGAGCCGCCGCAGGTCACAGAAAAAATAGACGACCAAGCAATCGCGAAAGACACCAGAACGGCGACGCCAGACGTCAACGTGATCAGAACAGAAGTGACGGACAAAAGGGAGGCAAAGGTGGAAAGAGAGGAAGGAGGGGTTAAAGCGTGGAAACTGCTTGCTATTTTACGCGGACATTTTTGTCAATATTTCAGACACACAAAAGTGAGCAAAGAAAATATAAAAAATTTTAGCATTGTACGACGAAATTTCTACTTTAGTCAATTAGCCTATTCAACTTTCTGTAAAGTTTTATTAAATTTGCAACGATAAAAATACTCGCCAAAAACTGTCCAATTTTAGCCTACTGTGATATTACACATTTTATTACATAATATTTGTATTTCAAATTATATTTGCCAAAAGTTTGTTTGTTCATAATAAAATATTTTTTGTAAATACTATTTTCATGTTTGTATTATCTTGTTGGAATCAACTATGTGGCTTCACTGGCTTGCAGCTTTGACAGACTCTTTTCTTAACCAAACTCTATGTCCTTCTTAGGCCCCTACTTTGTTTATGTTTCTGGATTAGAAAAGTTCGTTGGAGTCACGCTCTGTGAGGCAATCGAACTTGCTTCCCTTGATTGACTCTCTAGTCGAAAGAGATAGATTTGCTTGATTACATCAGATGTAAAGTTTGCTTTCCTAATGTTTACATAGCCTAATATTGTCTCTCTGTAATCTATTCTTGACGATATGTGCTAATAAATCTTAAATCCTACTCTTCATCGAGCATAACATGGCGCTGCGACAGTTCTACATGCCATCGTCGTCCAAAAGACAGTAAATTTTGTAATATGAACAGCTGCCCTTATTGTTATACAGTGGTGTAACCTATTTTCGTGGATATAAGGATTCAACACCGAATTTCGTCAAAGTTAAAAAAACGAAAAAAAAATTTTATGTCTTAGATGTTTCCTCAGATATTCTACAAAATAATAGAAATTGGTTTATTTCGATTTTCTTAATGAATCCTTCACTTTGACCCATATTTTATGAGCAACCAACTCGGGAACTGCGGCAGAATGCGTCACCTATTTTCGTGTACAATGTTTGATCTATAAATAAGTCTAGAAAAACACGTTGTATGGATACCGGGTGGTGTAATTAACTTCTCTTAGTATTTATATTTAATATGAATTCATTATAACCAGTGACAATTCCTTCAAAGAACCACGATTTAAAAAAAAATAGTGACTGACAAAATATGATACGTAGCATGATTTATTGCTAAAAGTCACTGAAACAACATAGGAATATGGTCCACTTTGTGTTCCATAAAAATTTTCTGCTGACACGGAATCCGCTAGTTGATCACGTGACTTCATTCGTTGGATTATATTCTAGCAGACGACACTTGGAATTCCGATTACCGCTCGGGATTATAATGAAATTCGGCCGATAAAAAATTGTGACGTTTGGTAATAAGTGAAATCCGCCATTTTGTATTTGTCAAAGTATACATTAATACATTTTACCTTGCTTGAAACTACTGGATTCATTCTACTAGCTGACATTGTACAGAAAACCCATTTTTATTAAAATAAACTACTGCGGAGGTCGCGCAAGGTCGCTCACGTAAATAATTAATCATTTCCGAAAATCCACGAATAATAGGTTTCCACGAAATTAGGTTACTTGACTGTAATAAGATAATATGTGGTTAATTTACCATTCGTGAAAGTTAAAATTTCAAACATCAGAGCCAGTAAATGTCAATGGGAGCCGCTGTGGGTTAGACGCTTGGTCGTCTTCCTGAAGGTCCAGCAGGTGGAGATGATACCTTCCTTTTTTTCAACCAGCTCTCTCATCGTCAGTGATGCAGGTCTGAGGGACTGACACGAAAAACAAAATTCCGTCTTTCGGGTGGAACAATAAAACGAGGCCCCGTGTGCTACAAACTTTGCACATTTAAGTTCCCTTGACCGTGTGCTACAGACTGTGCACATTTAAGATCCCTTGACAGTTGAAAATCGAAAAAGAGTAGACTAATGCTGCTGTCCTATAGCGGTTTGGATCAATTAAATCAGAATTTTTATTTAGATTTTTCAACCCACCCATAAATAGCAGGAATAGCCTACGAGATTTTTTGGGTTCCTCTAACTGCGTCTGGGTTTTGCTTATCTTGATTTTAAAGGAATAGGTGGGCCATTTTTTTTTACCTTAGTTTCAGAAACAGTGTTCACTCCTTCCAATCCATGTGTGTCCAGCATTATCCGCGTTTGGACGTTAGAAAGACGAGTTGTCTTTTTAACTTCCTCTCTCATATATAGAAAAGACATAGGCCTATATCGAAATAGTAATTGAAACTCTTAGTTTGAGGTATTTTTAAAGGAATTGTGCGATTGTCGTACATTTCCGGCACTTCTGAAGACTATTATATATTCGAGACCAAAATCAACCCCCAAATATGGCCCATCTGTTCCTTTAATTTCTACTAACGAAATGAGAACATAATATAACTTAACAGGCAAGGTAACATACGCCCACAGGCAGCTATATGAAAAGTGAATTTGAATTCATTAATATCTCATCACTGTTTTTTAGTTTCAAAAGCCTAACTAAAACCACAAAAAATCAAAATTATTCAGTGAGCTACGCTAGCGCTCTGCAATATTCAGCTTTACGGAAGCTGTCGTGGATTGCCGCTTATCGCTACACGTCAGCGAGAAGCTTAAGATGGAATGTCGGACCAGTTAAATTTGATAGCAGGCCGCCCATACTATAACTAAAAAAAAAGGTTTCCTTCAGTTTCTGTAAATTGATACTGCTGTGCTTAAAATTCTATCTGAAAACTGACCTAGCAGCGTTACACCAATGCTTCTCAACTAGGGTCTAAGTGCACCCGGAAGTTGGTTGTAGTGGTTAACTCAAGTCAAGAACAGATCTGATGAGTTGTTGTAAATCACCAATCGATCTGATCCCACCTTAAAGCGAATATAAAGAGGTTTTCTAAAATTTTAAACTGTATCGGGGAATCAGACATCATCAATTTGCAACATTCAAATTATCAGCTAGACTTGATCACTAATTGCGAAATGTGCTTCATCACATAAGGTCTCGCATTTAGAGACGTCATAAAACACTGAGTTTTATTGCAAGGTTATTTAGGAGCAGGATTAGACAGTAATTAGTTCCGTTAAAAGAGTCACGAGATTATGGTCATTTGTTCAAAAACAGTGTTTACTGGAGAACGAATAATATTTTGTAATAAGATCCTGGTCTTTTCCTGGAAATTTCTCATACTGCGTCTCACCTTTACACACTGTCATGTTTCTTATCTAAATATCTCGACATCTCATTTGTTCATGTCAACCACATAGTCGTATAGTGATAAATAGACAGATAAAAATGATGTAATATCGTCCCGTTACAATAGTCCAGGATAACCAGCCCATTTTTAACTATATGTTGTTTTAACTATGGAAACCCTTTGCACTAAGATTACCTATCTGTGGTGTTTCTATGAATTCTTGGAAAGGGGGGCCGTGTAGGGGCCATGTAGAGAATTACCAAATTCATACAATTTTTCCCTGTGTAATACAATTTCAAAAAAAGTGGGGCGGGGCAAAAGCGGGCAAGCCTCAAGTTTGTATTCCCCATAACTCTCACGTAGAAACACCCCTGAAATCAATCGGTATAGGCTACCTGCATCAGTCGATAGAACTCTGATCAAAACTTCCAACATTTCCATTTGCTGTATGACTCTAGTCTGTAGTTCCAGAAATAAAAACAATTAAAATGGTTTTTACTATATTGACGTAATCTCGTTATTTTTTTTCTCAGAATTACAGTAACCACAGACGTCGAATGAGAAATAGAAACAGAGCAACTAAACTCTAACAAATTCCGATACAAATATATATGCTGATTGGGCCGTTAATAAAAACACAAACCATTAAAGGAATAAAGCTCTTTGGGTGGACATGAAATTTTAAGTCTCAAACTTGGTCAATAAGAGTTTCTATTTATCAGTTGGACTTGATGATAGAACTTTTGTCCATTTTTTTTGTCATCCTAAGAGGTGGTATACCTTATGCTTGACACATAAACACAAGCGCATAAATCTGCATTTACTGGATTGAGTTTAGAATGATGCCAATAAATTGCTCGTATATTTCTGATAATCATTATCATGTTGGCTCTACATCCTTGTATAAAGTGATTATTTTCTAACTAATGTATTAAAATGAGGTCAACTGGTCAACCAAATAGCGAATTATTTTGCTGAGATATCAGATAAGATCCGTCTTTCAAATTTAAATTGCGCGAAAAGGTTATATAATACAGGATATACGTTTATCGGTCGATTACGCTAAAACAAACAAGAATGGGAACTTCTCAAATCTACATCCTATTTTAAACAATTTTTAAAACAATGCTGGTAAATATACGGATGGTGATAATTTGGTATAAAAGGACTGTGGTAGCCTCTTCTCTCATCAGTATCCAGTCTAATCTCGATAGAAGAAAACTACATAGTAAAGTTTCTGCAGTAAACTTTTGGTGAGTTGATATCTTTGATTATGACAATCTTTAATCTTTAATGACAAGGGTGAAAATTAGGCCAAAGGCCTCTTTACAATTTTTCCCGGTAAAATTATAACATGAAAATTATAAAAAAATACCAAAACAAATGAAAGAAATACTAATAATATGGACATAATACTCAGTTAACAATACATGTATAATAAAAAAAAAATCATTATTTATAGAAATTTTAAAATAGTACCTAAAACATATTCTGACTCGGAGTTCCAGGTGAAAAAAACAATGAAATTAAAAAAATAAAAAATTATATTTAGATACTATAAAAGTTATGATTTTTTTAAAAACCAATATCTGGTGCTTGTGTGAAAATATTTTTTCTATATTCCTACCGTTATAGGTCAAATTGTTAGGTTGTGAGCCAATAGTAAGCTAAAATTAAAAATGCTCGGCACAACCTTTACTATGTGTGGGCTGATATATATAATAGAAACATTTCTAACCCTCCCCCTTTAGTAGGCCTAATGTCCAGTCTTTTTTTGTACACCAAAGTATGTAGCTCATCTTTTATTTGCAGATTATCAAATCATCAAGATGAAGCTGTATCAGTCAATGTTTGTAGCTTTGGTTGTCATCTCTGTTATTGGTGATGTCAGCCATTTTGTTCACAATATGGCCGCTTCTCCCGGAAGTGAGGTAAGCATATTATTATCGCCTCCCTTCATTTAATAAACATTTCTTATAATTGTTAACAATATTGAACGCGACCTCTGTTAGCCAAGATATCTGGGACTGATCAGACCCAATGTAGGGTAGGCCTAGGCTACAGTTATAACGTGCATAAGGAAGTAATTTAGATTTTATCTACTAAAGCCCAGATGTTCGAAATCAGTCTAAAATGATTCCAATGTTTCTATTTTGCAGCTTTCAAGAAATTCATTTAGTTTGATTTCTGGATCGGACGCCATTATTGGTGCTCTAGCACGAGCTATTGGTAGAGCTGTAGCCAGACGAGCCGCCGCAGGTCACAGAAAAAATAGACGACCAAGCAACCGCGGAAAACACGAGAAAGGTGATTCCAGACGTCAGCGTGATCAGAACAGAAGTGACGGACAAAAGGGAGGCAAAGGCGGAAAAGGAGGAAACAAAGGTTAAATTAAGAAAAAAAACTGACTAGTCTTACTGCCTTTTTGAAATTTTACGAATAGAGATTTGTCGATATTTTAGACAAACAAAAAACTTTTAGCTTTTTATATCGCAAACTGATGTATACATTTTCACAACCTTATGTTTTAAATTTTCAACGATTGAAATACTCGTATTATAACATGAAACTGTCCAATTTTACTGTGATATTACACATGTAATTACATAATATTGTCGATATTTTGTATTTAAATTATTTTTGCCATAAGTTTGTTTGTTCATAATAAAATAATTGTGTAAATTTAACAGTTTTAATTTCATTTGCGAGTGGTTTCCCTGGCTTAATTGTGACTGGGAGCAGACTCCCTTGCAAACGAAACTACGCGCCCTTCTTACATAGAAATGCTGAATAAACGAACGTGGTTGGTCGACATTAAAATCACTCGATTTTTTTTTTTAGAAATGTCATAAACATTTCAACTAACCTTTCAAATCACATGTACATGTATTTTTTACTGCATGTATACCGAGTTAAAGAAAAACCTATGTGAAGGTTTAAATCACAAAATAGCCGTGAATATTAAACATGTCGGAGAGAAAGTCAGAAAAAACGATCAATTTTCGATTTCTTTTTATAAGCCGGGACTCATCTTTCAGTTCACATAAATATAGTGGTGTTTGAAGGCCAACTACCATGTGGCTGGTTCAACCACGGGCCCCCACCCCTAAGGGGAACCATACCCCAAGAAAAATGTAGTAGAGCATATTATGTTAAAATTTCCCGGGGAAGGGGCTCCCACTTGATGAAGTCTTTTAGTCGATGCTATCATTCTTTTGGTACAATCTGTTTAAAAGATGCTACTTAAGTTAAACTTTGTTCATGTCAGAACGTCACATCGTCATGTTTTTGACTTTAAAAAGAAGTTCTTTTGAGTCACGCCTCTTACATAGCGGTCAACAAAGTTCTTAATATAATCGGCTACCCGATGGCAGGCATTATTTACCAGAAGTTTGTCTAAATTGTCACTTGATTACATGAATCTCGTAATTCAAATAACAGAGGCTGGTCGACATAACGGAATTCACCATTCATTACCGAGACAGATTTAGCTTTCCGGAAACTGCCGAGCATTGCAGAGCATTGCCGAATGGAATGCCTTTATACAATATAAGGATTCATCGAATCATTTCAAGAAAATGGCATAGTGCAAAAATCTCAAGACAAGGGCAAGGGTCAAGCTTTCTGAATGAGAATGTTTGGATAAACTATGTAGTGTGACCAATTGATTAAAACACAAAAAGATTTTGTTATCAAATTTGTTATATGTTTTTTTTTACAGTTAATAACAAACAAGATCTAACATAAAGTATACAATACATTGCTGAGTCATATAAAAAGTTAGCCACCTTTTTGTGTAGGGCTGAGCGATTTTGGTCCTAGTGGATAAAACGATATGGGATATTATTTCAGTATATTTTTTTTTAATGATTTTTGATACAAAATGTTGTTTTTTTTCTAAATGTAAGAAAAAACAATAAATATCTCTTTAAAACACCACATTATTGAATATCATGAAAAAAACATCTGTTTCAAATATTAAGTTACTTGTTAGAATTGTGTAGATGATCTTATCTGGACAAAAATTTAATGATATACATCATGATAACTACAATATATCACGATCTGGTGAAATTTCAGTATGTTTTGATCAGGTGATATTACTGTAGATATAAATCCCTATATTTATCGTAATACTGGTATATTGCCCAGCCCTATTTTGTGGCTTTTTTCTTTTTCAATTGCTATCAATTTTTTTCATTCACTTGTAAGTTTAAATGTCATATCAAAATTTCCATAATTTGTTTTTCAAATGCCTGATAAATGAGGTGTTTTTGTGTAAGCAATTAATTGGCTAAAGACGGAAAGCAGCCAAAAGCAGTAAGAACTATCTGTAAGTAAAAATCAGGAATAAGAGATTTTCTTGGGTTCCATATAACCACTATCACCATAACATTTTAAACTAACTCTACCACTTGGACGTACAGTTAACCATGTTATACTGGCATGAGCTAATGATAATCGTAACCAACCATCTGGTGGAAATTGTAGAGCTCTGTAATAAACAATTAAATATGGTTATTTGTGGATTATGTAGGTGTAACAATTGAGGTTATATGTCCTTAATGGAAAGAATTTAATATGGTTATTACTAGAGCATTTAGAGCTCTGTTATGCAATGACTGTTTAGCTCTGTAATAAACAATAGAATGGTTATTTGTTGAGCATTTAGCACTCTGTGATTCAATGTTTATATATACTGTTTAGCTCTGTAATTACATTTGCTTATGGTTATTTGTTAAGCATTTAAGTCTCTGATAGCTCTGTAATAACTGAATAAAGTTACTAAAATAAATGTCTGGTTATATACAGTTCTTACCTGCACACAAAGTATCTGATGACATTGGCATGACAAACTATTATTTCAAAGGAATCCTCAGTTTGATCTGCAGGGGCTCGATGTATATAATGTCTAAAAGCTGCCTCTATTCTTTGACCATCTGTGTAAAACTGCTAATTTGAAACAAAAGAAAAGATTCATAATTAATGAAAGGCCACCAGCAGATGACATCCTTCAAAGGTAATTTTTATAACATTAGTAAATTTTCCAGTTGAAAAAATTCAATTCAATTAACAAATTCTTCTTGGCTCTCAACATAAAATAATAACATTGTATGCAAATGGTTAATTTGTTCTATGGACCATTCGACTTGTGGTTTAGCATAGGAATTTAAGGAAATAAACAGTTTGTGGTATGATACTCATAAAAGTGTAAAGCTTACATAGTTTTCAGGTTTCCAATGTCCAACAGGTGGTTCAGGTGGAATAGGTGCTCCCTCTCTTAACATATCATTTTTTTCACGAGGTAAGTCTGGTAGATGTTTGTGTATGATATCAGCTGTTTCTAGTGCTCTGGTCATTGTTGAAGATATTAATTTTGTATATGGTAGATCTAACTCCTTTAATCTGGACCCTGTTAAATCAGCTTGTGTTCTTCCTTTAAAACAAGGTGGGCAATAAAATTTATATAATGATATTGAAAAGACATGTGCAAGGAGGGAAATTTTGCTAAATTAGAAGTCTACTCTGAAACAAAGATAGCTTGCCAGGCCAGGTAATATACGCCCACTGGCAGCTTTGATTTTGAATAAAAATATTTAGCAGTACAGTAACAATCACCAGTATGAAATATTCAACCTTCAGTCATACACTTCTTTTGAACTCTGTAGGGCGATACTGAATAATATTGATCAATTTTTAGCTCGTGAAAACTCTAGAAGGCAAATATTCAATCTCCAGCGCGGGACTGAATAATGAAACCAAGTTTTATCAAAATTCAGTAAGAATCATGCCTTTTAGAGTGTTTACAAGCTAAAAATTGAAAGCGTTTTCAAGAACAAGGGCAATAACTCATACTAAATATTTTTCGATTCTTCCGATTTTAAATAGGGTTCATCCTTGGGTGATTACGAACACTCATACCAAGTTTTGTCAAAATCTGTCCAGAATTGTGTCTTGTAGAGTGTTTACGAGCAATTGTGGACGGACGGACCGACGGACTGACATGGGTGACGGCAATATACGCCCTCCATTTCATGTGGGCATATAAAAATTCTGGTATGAAGATCAGAATCTATTTCATGATCATTTCTTGAACCTATATTCTTTTGAGCAAGTATCAGAATTCCTGACTTGTCGTGGACAAAACTTATTTTAAACACATTATATTATATATTTTAGTAATGTAGAAGTGCCAAAATGGTCGTGTATAATTTTTTCAGAACATGGATGGTAAGTGCCAAAGTGGTGTAATGTGCACATAAGCATCAAACATGGTGGTAGAAAAATTTACCTAAAGTAGTGAGGTATCTATCTGTATCAGTTAGACCATTTAGGTTATATTGTCCATGTCTTATCAACAGTATATTTCTAGTTGCTGTAGGAGTAACGTCTAATATGTCGTTCTTAATATTGTTATTTTCATCCTTCTCAACTACACCATTTTTACTTGGTTTAACCAAACTTTTAGGGTCTCTCCTAGAATAAGAAGAATAATATCTAAATGATATCTTGTTTCTAACAAAGGTTAAGACCCCCATGATTACACAAAATATACTTGCTTGGCCATTACCAAGTGATTTAAGTTCAGGTTATATGATGTTTTATTTCATTTACACTCAATTTAAAAGGCTTAAACATGTTAAAGCTATGTTAATGCAAACTGATAGTAGTGATAGTTACCATAATGTGCTGGTAGGTCTATCCTGTACACATGTCAATCTATACTTTACTCAAGGTAAATAGCTCAGAAATGTCTAATCCAAGTCAAAATCATAAACTCAGCCAAGGTATCAACAATAATGGAAGGTAAGTCTAATCAATACCGTACTCTTTCTCTTTTCATGTTATTTATAAAATTATTACCTGTCCCAGTTATGATTCCATTTTATCTTGGGGTATGGAATCTCCTCGCTGACATTTGTCCATGATGCACACAGCCCGGCCTTTGAACTCCTCTTGTCATAAACATAAATACTAAGAAGAGTAATTGCACCAGCAGTTGTTGCAGCGCTTAATTTACTAAATTGTTTTAGAAAATGTAGGGGATTTTTCCTCCAAGTCATGTTCAGCTTGAACACCAAATTGTTCTTCTTCAATAAAGAGTTTGGGAGAAATATTTGCAATGTTCTCTTAATTGCTAAAAAAAACCCCATAAATTTAATTATGATTTGGGACTAAACGTTTAAATTAGTTTACTAGTAATATTAAAACATTAAAAAAATCTTCTACAAATATTCAGAGGGAAATTTAGAAACATAACATAAAAAATGGTTTATAAATAAATGCTCCCCCCAAAAATACAACATGGCTGCCAAAACCATCAATAACGAAATCTATCCAGATTCAACGATTACATTAGCTTTATTCCGGGACGTCGACAATACTAAAGAGATCAGACAATGTGTAATGGACGGACAGTTTGAGGCAGCAATACTGAAATCTTCAATGGTACCTCGAAACGTTCAATAATTTAGTCCAATCTGATGCTATCTTGTTTCCAACATTTTTTTACGGATCGACTACAGTAATCTGAATAGGTTTTACAACAATATGAACTATTTCATTAGTCTGCTCTTCCAATTTACTTTTGAACTGTCATAACAGTTTTTATGAATTTGATTTTTACAGCCTATATGCTCAAAAGTGATCATCATTACATCAATTACACAATATTCCTGTTTCTAAAACAATTGATCAAATGGATGGTGAAGTGCCCCTTTAAGTTATCTTAGTTAAGTGATTGTGTCCAACCTTGAATTATATATTATCCATGTTACACCATTATGAAAGATAATATTATTTATTTATTACAGATAGTTGATCCATTTCAAGTTGTAATTGCAGCTAATAAAGCAGTTCATCAAAGTAGAGTGACAAAAACTATGACGAAAAATGTCCATACAGAAATCTTGTACAATTTATCACCAACAAAAAATGTAACTATTAAGCTTAGAGCTTCGGTGTTTTTTTTTTTGTATCAATAGCAATCTAACCGAAATGATAACAGAGTCTTGAACTCTTTATCCTGCCCTTAAAATTTATCATTACTGACTGAACTTTTTGTTTGAATGTTTCGATTTGGATTTCAAAGGATTGTAAAGTGGTTTTTATGGCTTATCTAACATAAAGGCCCTTAGCATTTATCAGCTTTTGTGATAATGATGGAATATTCATTTTCAGCATTCCTGTCATTATAAAAAATTTAAATTATGCAATGATGCCATCCCTGTCCATTTTACACATTAAATGTTCAGAGTCTGCGTTATAGTAATATAGGCAAAGCCTGTTCCCCAATCCTTTTCATAATGTATATCTATATAATTGTGAATAAAATATTGTTTGCAAAACAATCCAGTTAAATTAGAGGTTCTGTTTTTCTTTTACGTGAGATGTTGACTAACTGTCAAAAAAAGGTTAGCTATCTTAGAGATGAATTATTTTTATTTTAGATATCAGATTCATTTCGTAAGTTTGGTGCAGGAGATAATGATACCAGTGTATTCATAGCTATAATTGATGATGCAGACCATAAAACTTTTAATATTGTAAAGAAAACAGTCAATGGAAAGTTAGTAGATGTCAATGAAGTTAGTGAATTAACTGATTTGGTTGCTGTTAAAAAGGTATTCACTTCAGTGAATTTGAATGGATTTTTTAATTACACTTTTCTAAAGAAAAGATCTTGCTTATCAAATGAGACTGCTTAACAGGAAATCCTTAGCAAGAACAAATTTCAGGTTCTTGTTTAAGAAGCCTACATAGACCTAGGCATTGCCTTTTTTTGTTCATAACTCATGTTCACAAAATTAGATTCATTTTAGAGAACATAAAATTATTGTTTTTTTGAGTCTATCTTGATTACTTAGAGTTGAAAAATTATTAAAGTTAATATCACCACTAGATGTTGTAATCTTGATGTTTCTTTTCTAGATCTATAAATTAACTGATGAAGAAATGAAAAGGTCACCATTAGATTCTATTGTTACTAGAATCGCAGCTAAAGACATTATGACAGTATGACCTCGATGATCCAAGCTATTTTCCCCACATGATTTGTGAGAAAAAGTTTAATCGATATGTTAGAAAACTGAAAGACTGTAGAAGAAATATACAGAAATTGTGTTTTTATGAAATCACTGATGCATAAAAGTATGTGTGCTTGAGTTTTCAGGACAATCAAACGATTTTGCACTAGAGTTGTACAGGACTTTATAACAATGTGCATCAGATTCTGATAAAAAGATGTCAAAATGCCTACAAATCACCATGTGAAGGTTTGATGAAATAAAAAAAACAAAGTATAAATAGATGTTCTATGTATCTGTTTTTGTATTGGTCTTGCACTGCACAATGGAGCAAATTTTCCTAGGAGATCGGTATATGCCTTGTGTCTTGGAATAGGCCTAACCATCTTAAGCATGCACACTGACTTATACAGACTGTAGTACATGTACCTAGGTTTACTGGACCAGATCATTTTTCATGTCAGTCCATTCGAACTGCATCACTGACAGGGGGGAAACATTGTTGAAACAAGAACTAATGGTGAAATTTTAAACATAAAATAACAGTATAATTTTTTTATTCTGAAATATGCATATATTTCCATTTGTAAACCATCATACAAATATTATGTTAATAGGCAAACAATAAACAAAGTTGACAATAATATTCATTGCTTAGCAGTGCATAGCAATGAACTAGATATTTTAACATACAATTAGATTGCACATAGTGAAACTCTATGGTTCAGGTTCTGTTATACTTATGGTATTCCATATGTGCATTTGTTCAAAACATTAACAAATCCAGTCTTATGATGTGCATGCTAGAATTGACATAATACCAGCTATATTTATATATATATTTTTTTTTTACTGAACTCCTTAAAAAAATAAAGTGAACAATATGTTTTTAATTGTGCTTCAATAAAAATGTCCCTGCTTTTGCACTGTGGGAAATGATATTGGATCTACTAACGTCAATTCTCTAAAGAAACAGTCTTTCATTTTTCACATGCTAAATTACTAAACTTTTAAAGTGTTCAGCCATTATAATCAAATGAGAAATGTGGTATTATATCACACATTCAGTTTAAGCACCTAATTTTGCTGAATTAACTTTTATATTCTCTTTGATTCAAACTGGTTGATTTTATTTTGTCTCAGATGGTCATTTTGAAATTTGGCAATTGAAAGAAGCTAAAAGAAATTTTTTTCTGAACCAGAATATTACTCAAAATAAACGCATTTCTTTTGGAAATAAGCCATATTTCAATTAAAACAGAAAAAATTTGTGCTTCCGATTTTTTTGTAATTAAGGCAGTCAACACTAATAATTTAAACTGGATATTTCAATGCACCTAAATTAATAGGCACATTTGGAATTACCAACAAAAGTAAAAAAGTCAATGGTTCAGTCATACTGTTTCAAAGCTATCAGAGGCCTAGTAACAGTCAACAGGTTAAGGTAATGTCTTATATGTACAATCATTTATTCTATAGCTCCTTCATGCTTCAACAACCATACTTTAACACTATTTCTAGTGCCGCCATGATAATTTCCTAGTTCTCCACTGGACTGTATCACTCTATGACAAGGCATTAAGATCATAATGGGATTGGTTTTCATGGCAGCTCCAACAGCTCGACTGGCATTTTGATTGCCACACAATTCGGCTAATTTACCATAAGATATACATTCACCAAACTGTACCTTCTCTGGTAAGGTCTTCCATACTTTTTCAGTAAATGAACCTGAAATATAGTGAATTTAAACAATGTAAATGAACCTGAAAGAGTGAATTTAAACAATGTATTTGAACTGAAATGAAATGAAAGGAGTGTCAAAAAATAGCACTAAATATATGAACAGCTGTAAGTGAATGCAACATAGGACCGCTTGGGTGTGAATCATGGAAATATACGTACAATAGAGCAGCTGCTAGAGTTGAAAGGGTTAATATCTGAATTCATATTGAATCATTACTTTGATATAGCTCAAGAAACAATCACTATTCAAGGCAATGGTTTGCCATTTTCGGGTTTGTCTTGGAACTCAAATACATGTAAATAGTCTCCAGTAGTACTCTCACTATTCTGACTCTTCAATAGGAGTTTGAATTACATAAATCAAAGTATACCCGGTTAATAGACAAATATTGCCACATAATATTTACAAAAGCCCATACCTTTTTTAGAAATAGACAAACAGACAGGAGGATATGTAATAGTGGTATGTTTATGAAAGTAACTTTTTAACCATTGAGCACATTGCATGGCAGGTTTATATGCATAACCATTATCTTTATATAACTGTGAAATCACTTCAACATCAACACTGAAATACAAGTTATTCCCCTTTATTCCACAACAGATTTAATACATACGAGCCTTGTCAAATCAAATCTAGGCCAAAGAAACAAATTTCGATCAATAATGTCAGTGGTTTTCAACCTATATTTGTATGTAACCCAAAATCTTAATGGCATGAAAATGATGTCTCCAGATATGTTATGAATTATGTTTGGATCCTAAAACAGTTTCGTATAGTATTGAATACAAACTGCAGCAAGTAATTCTCTCAGTACTCAGTTCTACAATGATAGCCCAGCCCATGTATTGTGCAGTCATATGAGATGTGGCCTGTGATACATCAAATGTCCCCAAAGTAAAGTGCAAATCTCTGTCCTATGTACCACAATTTTTTTGGATGAGAATGATCGTAGGATATAAAAGCACTATTTACTCTTAAACTGAGAATCCTGATTTCTTTCATATCATTTGATTGGTCTAAATTACCACACCAATAAATGTTCTTAACAGTTTGTACACATTTCCATATCTTTTAGGTGAAAAACAACTCACCCAAGATCCGGTAAAAAGTTATCATCATTAATATGAGTTTCTTGTCCTAATGAGTGAATACCTTTAGGGCAGCTAGTTAACACTAATTTTCCTATTGGTGAGGATAATTCATAAGTATTGGTTGGTCCGTATAAACAGGATGGGGCTTTATGAGATTTATGACTTGGCATTTTGGTACCTGAAATATTCATAAAAAATCTAAAATATTGTTTTCCACTTGATCAGATAAAATATTAATCATGGTTTACAAAATTTGGAAAGAAAGACTAAGCATTTATAAATCTATAGCAGTTGCTGATCATTTTCTAAATCATCCAATGCAATATCAATTCTAACATCAAGACCTTGGCTAATGCTTCTATAGGAGAGAATCTTCTATAACACCCAACACCAAGAACACGCTCTAGAAATGCGCAAATATGATCAATTGGCATTTTATGACTGTTCTGAATCTCCAACTAAAACCAAAAGAATTCTTGTAAAGAATGAGTTTCTGCCCAAAGATCAAATGCTTTCATTCAGGAGTTTTCTTACTTATATGAAAATTTCTTTGTGTCCAATCAGTTTCAAAGTTTTTTAACAAATGCTTTTTCAACATCTGAATCAAAACCTGAACAAATATTAATCACTTTTGGATTTCGAGGTACTGGCACCACTTTCTCCACCTTTCTTGAGCAGTTTAAAACTTTTGGGTTCAATGGAAGATGCTTTCAATGAAACATCTTGTTCAATGTTACTATTTATGGCTTTCTGTAAATTCTGAAATTAGAAAAATTGGCGTAAACAGCTTACTTATATCAATCTATTCAAATGTTCTTGATTTCAATGGACGGAATTCCAGACAGTTATTGCATGTCAAATATGCATCATCAAAAAAATTTAGTATAAACATTGTCTACATATTGAAAATTCTACGTCCTTTTTTGCAAAGTCAGTTTTCTGAATTTCATTCCATAGAAGTCGCTTCTTGATTCAATATCCAAATTCATCAAATTTAAATATGTTTTCCTTACATCCCAGAAAATGTCCACATACCTTTTTCAATTTAAATGTCTGTAATTCTTTTCCTTTCTTTGGTTTAATACTCAGATGTCCTGCAAACCACAAATGAGAAAAGCTTTAAAACTACAAAATGGTGATCAAGCTTTATTACAAGCTATATATTCCTTATACACGATACATCAAGATCTTATGCAACAACATTAGCTTTCAAATGTAAATCAACTTCCTGTGTAACAAAAGGGGTCACTGAATTTAAACATATTTATCTAACAGACTTTCCAACCGCTGATGTCTATTGCATTTTACAAATTATTTATCTATCATCATCTGATTTTCAAATTAAATTTTTGAAAGCAAAAAGTTTCTTTATAATGAAAATTACGAAGATGATTCAAACTCAATACATCTATGAAACAACAGTGGTTGGGAATCAATCAATTTTTTTGTGTGTGTCTGAAATATCAACATTTTGTTTATAATCTCAAAATTACTGCTCTTTAATGACGAAACCATTCTATGATCTCAACTCAATCCGTAGTATTTTCAACAAAATGGACACATGTTTGTTGTGATGAATTTCATCTTTCTATTTTCTACAGCCTTTAAAATGTCAGCCTTATACATGATCATACAATCATTCTCATAAAACTAAAGAAACCTTTTCGAAGGACGTGGTTTTTAGTAGGCCGCTGTGATTTCTGCTTTCCTTTTCCTGGTGCTTGAACTTTAGCTTTCAACTTTCCTTGCGCCATGCTCTCTCCAAACACTGTAGATATTAAAGGACAAGTCAATTAGATATGAATGGGGTGTTAAAGATATAACATTGAATAATTTAAATCAAGTATCGAAGTTTTAAAGATATTTTCAATATACTGAAAAATAAGACAAATTTTCACAAAGTTTTTGAAAATGATCAGTTATAAATTAAAGATCGAACGTGTAAAATATTTTGACATGTCAAACCTAACATCCCTTAAAAAAGTAAGCCTGGTCCATAAACATAAGCAGACCAATGGCGAGGAGGTAATGAATTGCTTTAACACGCCTCTTCCAATTCTAGGCTCTGTACCAAGGCGAGTGTGCAATTTTTTCAATTTTTTGAAAGGTATGTCAATTTTCTTCTAAGTTCTAAATGAAAATTTATGAAACAATAGCTAGATTTTAAGGTTTTTAGCTAGATAAATTTGTTGACTAAGGAAATGTAATAAGAAAATCAATATTATTACACTGCTAAGAGAATGGTAATCTATTTTTGTCTATGCCCTGATGCCACTGATGGTCTTTGGAACCACATTCATGATTTTGAACTAATTGCTATTAAATTGGAAGAGCAAAATTGTTTCATATTAGAAGTCTGAAACTGAAATTATAATTGACTTTTTACTGGACTGTGTATTTTGAAATAAAAATAAATTTAAAGTTTTCACTTTGCATTATCAAATGAAAGAACTTTAAAGTCTACTGTTTAAGTTTTACTCAATTGCTGATACATGGATAAGTAAATTGTTAGTTTTTTTCAAAATATTAAATCAAAATCCACTTACTTGCAATTTGAATTATAATTCTCAGAAGAAAAATGGAAATGGGGTATTATGACTGTTGTTTTTCAGTTGATTCTAATGAATAAAACAATCAACTTGACATTTGACTCTTCTGATAGCCAGCATTTGGAATATGAAAATTAAGAAATGCCTAATTGGATGTTGGTAGGTACCATACTTTTTCCATTTGGTTGGGAAAATGTTTAACTTAGTCTATCATACTTGACCTTGAATTAAAGAGTTCAGGCATTACCTCCTAAAGCCCCTCTCTGTCTTTGAAGATTTTCTGAAATATTCCCTTTTTTGGCCTTCGATTTTATACATCAGATAACATTGATTGCTCCAAGCAGGATTGAAAAAAAAAATGGTTTAAGATACAAATATTTTAAAATTTGCTAATGACGTTGTCATTTATTTTGAAAATTAGTTTTTGGGACTCACAGACTTTGCTATGTTTTATGGTTAATTTTTGTTCAGATCCAAGTTAAGTATTCAGTAGTTCAGGACAGATATATCTGCAGTCTTCTTGACCAAGGGCTGAAAATTACTAATATTTTGCCCAAATTTTGAAAATATTATTTTAGAAAGCTATCTGGTCATGCCTGTGTATGATTAATCTGATACCATTGTTAGATGGTGATGAGAATATAGTCTCATAAAAGAACTGGCCTGGGTCACAAAGTTAAGATTCACCTCAGAGATAGAGAAAATATATATATAGGACTGAGAGATATTGTACTGATTTCAGATGGTTGATAGGAAAGGATTGACTTACTGAGTCCTTTCTCATATTACCTAGGTCACTTATCAAAATACATAGATAGGGAACATTACATTGTCTTAATGACTTTTTAATCTGTTTTAATAAAATTGTTCAACAACATATTTATGTACACGATGTCTGCATTCGGAATATAAATAGTATTGTTAAAGCCTATACAGATTTTTTTTTTATTTTAATTTTAGTTTTTAAAGAGGTTTTCTTGTCTATGAATATGTGTCATGGACACCTATAGTTACTGTTTATAGTTTACACAACTCTACTTTCCCTTCAAAAAGTTATTTCCTTGAATAACAAAATAACCTGACTAGATTTTGATAACACTATCATATCCTGTGGTTCTTATTGCACTCACTTTATAGTAAAGATTTTGAAAACAACATGTTTTCATATCAATATCCGGATACACTATAAGGAAAAATAAGACTATAAGAGATAAGCACATAAGATATAAGATATGTGCACATACAAATTACCCATTTGTGAATAGTGAAAAAGGCAAAATGTTATTTGTGTTGCATTGGTAAGGTTTGAACTAACTTACTGAAATATACTTTTTACTATTATGGCCTGATGCTCAGGCAACATGTCAACTTAGTGAATAAGAAGAATCAACACTGGTATATCAAAGAGTAGTTTAGAAATGACTTGCATCATACAGTACCGGTACCATGTACCAGCAGGAATAAATAGCTTATATAAAGAAAGAGGTTGTAAAAATAATACAAATTCCATTCTTGTTGGCCATCTGTTTTGATTCCACCATAAAACAAGCACTATTAATTTACTAGAATTATAAACAAAAGTTTACAGATGATCTGTAAATAGAGGATTTTTAATACCATTGGAAGAAATTCTTAGTTTTTTTATATGCCTACTTGAAGCCTCTGAAAAAAATCTTGAGGGGATTTAGACTTCTGATTTGTTTTCTTAATTTCAGCTAACATATGACTTAGAAACAGAGAAATGTGACAATTGTCTAGATATCCAGGCCATTTTAACATTTCCATTTAATGACCAATTATTGACCAAAATATTTAAACTTGCAACACTTACACATGCAGATGTTTTTCTTCAATAACAGAGAGACCAGAAGT